GCGCGGCCGGGCCGGGGGGAGGCGAGGCCGGGGAGGCTGCGCCCGCGCCGAGCCCTTCGCGGCTTCCGGAGGGGGCGGCGGGCAGCGCGGCTCCCGCTCCTCCCGCCTTTCCTTGGTGTATTTGTCTTTTTAATCGCGGATTATTTCATTTCCCTCCTCCCCACACCCCCCCGCCTCGTCCGGAGGCAGGTGGGGCTGGGTTGAATCCCGGCGATTTGCGAACGGGAGTCATTGCCCCCGGGACCTCCGCCCGGGGATCCCTGGGGTGGCCCTGCCGGGGCAGCAGCTGGGCTTGCCGGGGGGGGGACAGATGGCTCAGCCCCGGGAGGAAAGTCCCCGCCGCTCCGCAGCCCCGGCACACACCGCTCCCGGCCGGAGGCAAGACAGCGCCCGGGCACCCGGCCGTGGGTCTCTGATCCCGGGGGGGGCTCCGAAAGGCTCAAATCCAGCAGGTCTGGGCAGGGAGGTGGGTGCGGGGAGAGCTGGCCCCCAACCGCCACCCAGGCGCTCGCCTTTGTTCTTTCCTCGCAGCCCACCTTCAGGGGGGTGTCGCGCATCTGCCGAGGAATAACCGGGATGCTGCTCTGCCACCGCGTTAGGGACCTCCCGAGAAGCCACCCAGCAGGAAGACTTGGGAACAAACAGTTCGCTGCTTTTCGGTTCAGTGATTTCTAGCCCTGATTTTTATGAGGAAGCGTCTCCTAAACCAGCCCCACACGCCGTTGGGTGTCGGAGCAGCTTTGCACAGGGACCGAGGGTCTGAGACCCTACAGATGCTTTTGTGGGCAAGTACCAGGCTGGTCGTGGTCTGACCTGGCTCACCCAAGCCTTCAGGACATCCCACATCCCTGTGCGCTGCTGGGACCAGCCTACAGCACCTCCCACACCTGGAGCTTTCCCTTCCTCCTCCCTGGTGGGGATTCCTCTCCCTCCCAGCTCTTTCTCTGCTCCCAGGAGTGGTTTGGGAGGCCCACGCGTGGCTGAAGGATGGGGATTTGCAGAAAACACTTGGCTTCCATCAATGCAAAAACCACGGCACAAAAATGCAGGGGGTTCACCGAGTGATGGGGGTCCTGGGAGAGGTGGTTGAACCCAGATTGACTTAGAAGGTGTTTTGGGGACCTCTGTGTTCCTTCCAGGCTGTCTCAGTGCCCCGGGTCTCAGTCTCCCCGTGCAGGTTGCTGAGGATCCCACCCATGGACCTGCCTCCCCCGTAACACCCCCACTCACCCCCAGTTCTCCTGGCTCCATCCTCCCCAGGTCCTCACCAAGAGGCTGAAAGATCCCATCACGCTCCTCCCAGGTGTCCCAGCCTCCCAAGGGTTGAGACCCTACAGATGCTTTTGTGGGCAAGTGCCGGGTCTGACCTGGCCCATCCAAGCCTTCAAGACATCCCACATCCCTGTGCGCTGCTGGGACCAGCCTACAGCACCTCCCACACCTGGAGCTTTCCCTTCCTCCTCCCTGGTGGGGATTCCTCTCCCTCCCAGCTCTTTCTCTGCTCCCAGGAGTGGTTTGGGAGGCCCACGCGTGGCTGAAGGATGGGGATTTGCAGAAAACACTTGGCTTCCATCAATGCAAAAACCACGGCACAAAAATGCAGGGGGTTCACCGAGTGATGGGGGTCCTGGGAGAGGTGGTTGAACCCAGATTGACTTAGAAGGTGTTTTGGGGACCTCTGTGTTCCTTCCAGGCTGTCTCAGTGCCCCGGGTCTCAGTCTCCCCGTGCAGGTTGCTGAGGATCCCACCCATGGACCTGCCTCCCCCGTAACACCCCCACTCACCCCCAGTTCTCCTGGCTCCATCCTCCCCAGGTCCTCACCAAGAGGCTGAAAGATCCCATCACGCTCCTCCCAGGTGTCCCAGCCTCCCAAGGGTTATCTGGGGCAAAAGTGGGGGGAATCAGCCCCATCTCCAGGATGGAGCTTGTGGGCTCGTCTTGGATTTCAGCACAGCAGAAACCTGGAGCAGAGGGACCAGTTTCACACCATGGGTCAAAAAATAGCTAAGGATCCAGCTGCCCCATAGCACCTTGTTGGCAACGGCCGGGCAAGTCCACCCGGCTCAGCCCTCCCCATGGGCTCCAAAAAATCCCAGAGAAAGGGAAAACACCCCCGTGTAAAACCACGGAAAGTGCTACAATGGCGCCGAGATCCCGCCTGGCTCTCGACCAGGTGGAGTTTCACGAGGAATCAATTTTAGATTAAAAAAGGTCAATATAGCATGTCAAAGCGCTGCCTTCGAAGGCGAGGAGATAACTTCATTTGGGGGAAAGGAGCCCAACGGTTTGTCTTTCGCTGCGCCCGTAACCCGCCGCCCTCCAACACCCCCAGCCTGGGGCTTTTCTTTTTCTTTTGCAAGAAAAAACCCCAGATGAACATTAGGAAAGAATTTTTCACCGAAAGAGTGGTCGGGCATTGGAACAGGCTGCCCAGGGAGGGGGGGGAGTCCCCATCCCTGGCTGTGTTTAAGGGCCGTTTAGATGCAGTGCTGAGGGACATGGTGTAGGGGAGGGCTTTGTAGAGTAGGGGAGATGGTTGGACTCGATGATCCCAAGGGTCTCTTCCAACCTAGACCATTCTATGATTCTGTGATTCTATGACAAAAATATTAGGAGGAAATTAAATTGGAGGCGCGTTATTTATTCCTGGGGATCCACGGATAATTCCATGAATCCGGCCCATCCAAGCTCTCCATCCCCAACGCAGAAGGAGCCAGGTGGGATCACTTCCCTGGGTACACAAAATCATCTCCTTCTGCCAAAAAGGGGTGTTTTAAGTAAAAAAAACCCACGTAGGTCTGTGTGCCAGAGAGAGAGAGCTCTCTGCCAGGGCTATAAACAGAACACATGAATTTATTTATTTTTTTTGCACTAAACTGATATTTTTACCCCCAAATGTCTATTTTTTTTTGCTCAAGAAAATTAACATGGGGATTGCGTTTTATAATATTTTTTTTTTTTTCCCCTCAAAAAAACTCTGGAGCAGAAAGAAATGGCACCCCTGGCAACTCCTGCTCCCCCTCCCCAGCTGCAGGCAGGGCTGCCCCGGGAAGAGCTGGGTACCTGCTGGTACCTGCCGGGACACGAGGACTTTGGACACTTGTATCCAGCACCAGAATTACTCCATATTTCCAAATGGATCAAAAAAATAAAATATATTAAAATATATTCCCCCCGGGACGAGCATCAGCAATGCTCCCAGAGCAACCAGCAAATAGTTATTTGGGGGAAGAACCAGGTGTGAAGCTGCTACAGGGCAAGCGGGGTTGGGAATGCTGTTTCCTGCCTTCAAAAAGGCAAAATCAGGGAAAAAAAGGGGTTTTAGGTTAATAGAAACCCCCCCCCAGGGACATCACAGGTTTGCAGCCCCAAGTCCCGGCATTGGGGTTGGTTTTTTTTCCCCCCCCTTCTTTTCCTCCTGAGCTCTTGGGGTTGATTTCATTTTTTTTCCTTCTTTTGGGCTGAAACCCTTGTCTGGGCTTGGTGATGAGTCGGAGTGTGAATTTTTGGGGTGAATTTATACCAAAGCACCGAATCTGAGGGTGGGGATGTCCCGGGAGAGGCCGGTGGGGATGGGAGTTGCTGCTGAGACAAAGCCAAGGGGGGGTCGGGAGCATCTTTCACCCACTCGAGCAGCAATTAATGACACCGAGTTGTCAGAACAAGACAAAACGATGATTTTTGGCGTGTTTATTGGCAAAGAAATCTTCCAAAGGGCCCCATCTATCTGGGTTACGGTGACGGGGAAAAGATATTTATTCCGATGCGTTATGTAAATCAGTGTGGGATAAATACATGCAAATGATCGGCGCAGGTCGCGTGTAATTAAGTCCGTCAGGTGATTCCCCTTAACGGGGCCGGGGTTGGGGGTTGGTTTGGGGCTAAATCCCTCCAGTGGCTGGGTTTTGGCCAAAGAGCCAGGATACACACACCTTTGCTGCTGGAGGGCTGAAGATCTCTGGGATTCATGTTAATGAGCCCCTAATTAATGAGCGGCAGAGCAGCTCTGGGAGCAGGAAGGAGAAGGTGACGAGGTGGAGCCCAGCACCTTGTGATGGGGCAGCCGGGCTGGGGATGGACACGGCTCCTCTGGGCTGTGCTGGGATGGAGCAGCCTGGGGACAGGGACATCCCAGTCCCAGGGTCAGGGGTGCTCCATCCTTGGGGTCAGGGATGGGCCAGGCCTGGGGTCAGAGATGCTCCAACCTTGGTGTCAAGGATACTCCAGCCCTGAGGTCATGGATGCTCCATCCTTGGGGTCAGGGATGCTCCAGCTCTGGGGTCAAGGATGGTCCATCCCTGGGGTCAGGGATGCTCCAACCTTGGTGTCAAGGATACTCCAGCCCTGAGGTCAGGGCTGCTCCATCCTTGGGGTCAGGGATGCTCCAGCTCTGGGGTCAAGGATGGTCCATCCCTGGGGTCAGGGATGCTCCAGCCTCGGGGTCAAGGATACTCTTCCCAGTGATGCCCCAACCCTGGATGTTCCATCTCTGGGTCCAGGGATGCTCTGGGATCGTGGATGCTCCAGTCCTGGAGTCAAGGACACCCCAACCCTGGATTGAGGGATGCTCCATCCTTGGGGTGATGGATGTCCCATCCCTGGGGTCAGGGATGTTCCATTTCTGGGTCCAGAGATGCTCTGGCTCTGGGATCATGGACACACCATCTTTGTCGCCCT